CGTCGAATAGCCGTTAACCGTATCACAGGGCTATTTTTCGAAAACGTCGTCTGTGGGATTCGAACTCTAGACCTGCCATCTGGGGGTGCGACAACTCCACCACTTCACTAAGTCGCCACACCCTCTAACTACTTTTTTAAATCATTTGCTTTTCTATTTATCATAAGAGTATACGAGTCAGGTTCACTATCTGAGTTATCAGAGATTTCTTCTAAGTCATTTAGGTCTAATGGTTGTGAACTTGTAAAAAAGCTAGTAATTTTTTTTGTACCAACTGCTGCTTTAGTAAAAATACCGGTTGGCCCATACTTATCATAATAAGTTGACTTTGGTGTCTTGCTCTTCATATACAGGCTCCATTTTGTTTTTTTAAATTGACTATCATTTTTCTATGCCAAGTTAAGTTCTTTAATTTCACTCTCCTTATCATCTCATCCACTATCATCCTCATCTTCCCATTCTAAATCACTAACATCTAACTCATTATATTTATTCCAGCCACCATTTTCCTCACCTCCGTTTTTAATGCTAACGTCCAGTTTATCTTCAGTATCACTATTATATAGCTCATTTACTATGTCTTCTTGATCAGTTAACTCCATTTTTTTAGTATTATACTGTCCTTCAATATCTCTAGCCTGATTTTTGGCTTTCTTTTTTCTTTTGAAGAGGAGTGGCATTTTTTTTATTTTTTTATAAAAAGTTAGAGATATACGACTTGCCACTATGTCTAATCACGAAAAAAAGATTTTATTTATAGTTTATATGAAATATTTTTTTAATTTTATTTTATTTTTTTTTAATAATTAATGCGACGAGATGTGTTTTATGTATTAATTTAAATATATGTTCCTTTATAAACGTTTTAGATATATATATATTTATACAAAAGAATACCTTTTATTATTTTAATTAAGGCTTTGGCTGAAATAATGATTTTTTTCTAACTACTTAGTTCCATTCATTTTTTATTTTCACACACTTTAAAATAGCTTTATTTAAGATCTTCTATTTTGCCATTATATCATTATTACTTTATTTAAGGTTTGCTATTTTTAGTTTTATCTTATTCTTGATTATGCTTTTTAATTACCTTAATTACTTTACTTATTAGGCTAGTATCTCTGGGCTGTTATATTCCAACCACGACATCATATGAGAATAAAGCTTTGATCATTAAACGATAAGTATCTTAACAAATATTTGTTTGAATTTATCATTTTTATTTATTTATTTATTTTTTAAGTTACCAGGAATGGAGTACAAAGTATGTAGAGTATGGTTTAATGACAAGTGAAAGGGTGTATCCAAATCCGTGAATCTGATTGGATTGCTTTTTCATGTGATCTTGATGCCACAATATATATTACAGTATACTTTCAAATTTGTCAGTATTTTTTTTTTTATTATCCTTCAGAATTGACTAACCAAATACCAAAGCCAGTTTTAGCTGCACAATTGAGTCAAGCCGACCAAAGCTGATAAGCTACAACTTAGGCTATCACTATAGTGTTGCAGCTTTTAACTATGACTCAAGTTGTGATAAATAATATTGTTAAGCTTTGTATTAAATATTATTACGTTGCTACAGTAATAAGGATTTTAAAGCAATATAGTATTTAAAGAAGCTATAGAAGCATTAACAGCTTTAAAAATCTTTAATAAGTTGAAGTTCGTCTATAAAACTTTTTGTCATATAATATTAGGTCTTCATATGATATTTCAATTAAGTATTTGCTTATTTAATCAAACATTATCAATCAATATACGTATTAATTAATTTCTTATTTCAATTTTCATTCATATGGCTTAAGGTTCTCTCAAACACATAAATTATTATTATAAGAAAGTAGTTTAACCGATAAGTAGATTCATTATCATGATAAAAAAAAAGTTTGAAGCATCTTTTTTGTCAGACTTCAGTAAAATTACAATAGGGATCATTCATTTACAAAATTAATCGTAGTACTTATGCATGATCTCGATATCTATCCAATCACATTAAGAACACCATTAGTTTAAGCTTAATGATTATTCATTGGTCTAATTGGTCTAAGTATTTAATATAAGATGTTTATATCTCATTTAGCTTTTTATCCATATAATTATCATCTACCAAGAACATTTCTAAATTATGCAGATTATTATAAATAGATCTGTATAGTATAGGGTGTGAAATGCCCTTATTTTTATATTTGTTCAGGTGTTATGTATTATTAAGTTTAGCATCAGAAAATTGTAGTGGCTATGATATAGGATCTTTGCTATCAAAATGACCCTCCGAGGCTATGTTTATTTTATGAATAAAAATTAAATTCGCCAGCTATCTGTAATACAATTTGAATAAACTTTTTTTCTTTTGTAAATCTCAATATAATCTACAAATTAAAAAAAAATTTCATTCAAATTAAATAACTAGATAGCTAGCAAATTTAATTTTTATTCACAAAATCAACATAGCCTCGGAGAGTTATTTTAATAGCAAAGATCCCATATGTTTTTTAAAGAGATTTTACAATCTATACTAAATATATCTTAAAATCTTATGAAATTTTTTGTTTGTTTAAATTGTAGTGTCTCATATCAATATAGTTATGCTATATTTACTTGTATACCCAATATTTATTTATCTGAATTCAAAACTATAACTCATATAACTCTTAATGAAGCTAATATTCGTCTGTTCCTGGTTTAGAATAACAATATCACGAAGTTATTTATTTATATCAATCAGGATACTAAAGTGTGCCTACTATGATGTAATCCAAACTATTTCAGCACCAATTGATACTTTTTTGGTTAGGATTTTTTTCATATGAATTAATTATATAATGTTTATTCTGTATGGTTATCTTGCGTCTTAAAATATATGCTAAATAAATATTAATAAAATTTATTATATTATGTATAATTTATTATTTTGTGTTTTGTATTTATTGGGTCACGTGATTTTTCTGCTCACTGATTGGATAAAATAAAATGATTGATATCCGAAATTTGAAGATTATTAATAAAAATGTCTAACATTAAACTTTAATACTTCGTGAAAATAAAAAGTTACCAAAAAAACTAAACCGTAAATCTGATAGAGAAACATTAAATTTATTATTTTTACGGTTTAATTTTTTAATTTTATTTTAATAAAAAAACTAGTTATTGTTTGAAGTTGCATAAATTTGTTTGATGACTATAGGTGATACGAACCATAACAATTAGGGATAATTGGGTTATAGTAATAATAGTAATAATATGGAGTAAAGTCAATAGAAATGAGACAAATTTATCTAATAAATTTGTCCTATTTCTATTAACTCCACCCCATATGTTAATTGCGAATTCGATACAATATCATTTACTAAACTATATTTAATCAAGTAAGAATTCAATTCTTATTTTTCCTTCATTAAAGACATCGAAGTCTGAGAAAACTTTATTAATGCAAAAACTCAGGCCTTAAATACATTTTAATTTACTATGAACTACTGCACTAGACTTCTTCGCTACATTACTTTTGCATAAAACTATAAAATAGCTTATACATAGCTTAAAACATAAATGTCTCAAAAAAGCCTCATTATATTCTACATTCCTTTTACAAGTCATTATTATATCTTGTCATGTCAAACGCGACAAGGCATTAATGTCTTGTTTACATAAACATTTGTAACTAATTATTACCTCTTAATATATAAACAAAATAGTAGTGTCTTGTTTACATAAAACATCCCTGACTAATTATTACAAGTTCTCTTTTTTGCTCATCTATATCTTCAATGTCTATCATATGAGGAAATAAACAAACAACAAATAAAAATAAAAATGATAATAATAAAAAAGAATTCTAAACCCAAATATCATGTCACAAGAAACTGTGACAATACATTATATTTTGCCATTACAAATTTCTTTGTGTTTTGCAGTAATTTGCAACAATATAATTGGGTGCCTGTTTTTAAAAGAATTTTCTCAAACATTTAAATGTTATCAACCTAACTATATCAGCACAGTCAGCATTGCACCAATAGCTATAACACAATTAAAACAAACGCATTACTCTTTTATATTCTGAATTTTTTTGTCAGTGCATGTGACACAATTAAAGTTAATGGTTAGAATTTCACATTTTGTACTACCGGTAGTACACTTTATAAAATTCGTAGAAGGCTCAAAACTTATAAAATTTAAAAAATATTTTACTAAGAAAATCATTAAAAGTCACTTTATATAATAGTAGTATTTTATTTTATTTTTATTATGTAGTTAACAAATTACATAATCTTAAACATATGAGAAAATTATGCAAAAAGAGTATACTATATGTAGTATACTATTCAAAATCTTCTCGGGACCTATTAAAAAAAAATTATCAATTAAAAATTTGAGTATTGTAAAACAAACATGGAAGAATCTATAAAAAAAGTTTCAACCTCATAGAAGTAGAACCATACATGTCACGAATGTGATCGGCCTAGCAATTCATACACAAAGCTTTTGTATCAAAACAGGTACAACAAGTAGTTACACATTTATAGCAATGTAAACAATGAT